TTTTCATCTTGAATCTTATTCTCCTGCCCAATTGCATCCCCGGTGAGTTCACTTTACTGTGCCGTGCACCGCCTCGCCGTCTTTTTGTCTTGGCCAGTCCTTTGCCACGTTCCTTTCGGTCAGCAGTCCCCTAGGCGGGCAGCATCTCACTGCAGATATGGACTTGGTTCTCTCTGCTCTCTTCCATCCTTCGTCTAGATTGCCGCGTCCCATTCCCCTTGCACAGCCATCGGCCAACCGGTCACATATTATCGCAATCTTGCAGAGACTCAAAACACCCAAAAGGGTACGTGGACGCTGTACGCTGTACGCTGTACGCTGTACGCTGTACGCTGTACGTGGTGCGTCGTACTCTCACTCTGCGTGCGCTTTATCGTAAATCTGCCTATGTCATCATCTCTTGCTGGGAGCACACGAGGCAACGTAAAAGCGGCGGGACGAGACGGCAATACCGTTGCGGTGTTTATCTACATCTCCTCGGAGTCTGGTGCTCGAGGTGACGCTGTGAGAGAAGGCTGAGCCTTCTGTCGTCGCGATCGGTTGCGCTTGTTGACAAGACGAAGCGTTATGTGCAGTCGAGCATCGATGCCGTCTTGTGTGAGTATCCTGCATGTTTATGTAAGATACCAGTGGCGTCTTAAGATTGTATATATCAGCCAATGTCGTGATCCTTCAACATGATCATGACAACCAATTTACTTCCTTTTTTCTGTCTCCTTTTTGATAAATGTATATGTCAAGCGGTTTATTAGACATACGTTCCTCCTATGGGTGTTTGCTTTTTCCTTGCTTTGGCAATGCCCAGTCTGGCGGGAAAGGAAAAGAAAACAACAGATATACAACTGTTGGTTCCAACTGCAGTTGCCATCCAGGGGACCAAAGCCAAGCTTTTGATGATCGGCAGCCACACGCAAGGGAAACACAAAAAAGCCACTACCGCTAACCACACACAACCAGCCCCTGTCCCCTGCGTTTCTCTCGATCGACGTGGCTGCGAGAAAGCTTATTGCCAGTGTCTGAGTGTGAAGCTGGCGGGTGGTGACATGTGGTTCAACGGCCGTTCCGCTGACTCGTTCCCAAAGCCAAGTTTCTATAGCTTCATGCAAGGGCATCTGTATATTTGACTTTTCTTTCTGGAAACTGTAGTCCATGCCGCCAGACTGATCGGTATATATGAACAATGTGTACTGTGTATGTAGCGTTTATAATGGCATCGGTACGATTTCTTTGTAACTTAGCTTTATCAGCTTTAACGTCTGCAATACAGCACAGGCTATTCAACCGCGGCATCACGTCGCCCAAGAAGCTGTGCCTTGGGACTATGTGCGTGCATAGTCTTCACGGCTGTCGATTCTAGACTGAAATCCGAAATCATCTATTTGCATTGGCAGGCTATTTACGACATACAGAGTATTACGACGCAATTACCTGGGTAGGCTTTCATAGAGCTCATATAGACTGCACAAGCCGGGCCACCCGCCCGTGGCCCGCCATTCCGTCCTCTAGAGAGCGACGTCTCTGTTGACGCCTTGTTCCGGGCAAGCAAGCACGCCTACATTCTACTGTCTATTTATAGGAAGAAATGGCACTCTATGATGCATGTTGCGGTGTTTGTTTTCCCACAATGGTTACATTATTTGGTCCGTTTGAAGCTAGATGGCATATTTCTCGGGCTCGAATGCCAGCGGCTGACGCAAAACGGGGTCCATACTACGTACGTGTGTGTTCATCTGATGAGTAGGATACAAACGGAGAACGGTGTGGCGTTTGCGAAAACCAGGCATCCGGGTAAGTGGAGAGTAATTCTGACAAATGGTAAGAAAATACCAGACATGCTCTGCGTGAGAAAATCGAACGAGAGCGACAGGCACTTCCTTCACACATCTGGATACTGGACAGCAGAGCGACGCACACTCTACCTGCGTCCCCAGACCCAGGACTCGCAAAGTTGGCCAATCAGCACTGCGCACCCTTGTGACAGTTACACCCCCCGTTTCTGGGGTACATCTGCCGCGAAATGATCTTCATCAAATACTACTCACACGATAAAGGCGACTGAGCGATTAGTGCGATAGACGATAGCTAGACTGAAGAGAAAACAGAAAGTGGAAAATAGGATGAGTGCTGACCTTGACTTCTGATTGCCCTGTCGATTGTCATTCTTTGAGCTCTGATCTTCTCTGTCGAAAGAGGAAACGAAAGCTTGGCGACCCCTGACGCCGCTCCCGATGCGACGGGATGGGTGCGAGTCTCCATGCTGAGACGCTGCGACACTTGTTGTGTCAAGATTTTGGTTTCGTGTTTTTGTGCGGGCAAAGACCCCAACAGCGCACTGACAAGGAGGTTTCTCGTTTCTCTCGTCCTTTTCTTGCTGTCCAGCCCTTGTGCAAGATCACGATGCCCATTGTTTCTGTGTTTCATCTTTGCACGGGTCAGGAGGGGGAAGACGCGACGGCGCCTGTGCTTTGTAAACGTTTGCCGATGTCATAAAAGAAGCCTGTTTCCCTCATTTCTATTCATTCCACCCGTGTGAAAAAGAATCCAACAACGACGAAACAACGAATCGACGAATCGACGAAGCCAAGCATCTCCTAGCGTCCAACGTACGGCGCATACACCGCCCAACATGTTCTCCTCACTGACCACAAAGCTGGCCATGAAGAAGATGGGCATCTCCAGCGACACATTCAACTTGTCCCTGCCGGACATGAGCGGCGGCGGCGGCGCCGCAGACAACGACGCCAAGGCGGGCGCCAACAAGCTCAAGAAGACGCGCACAGGCCCGCTGCCGCCAGGCACGGTACCCGGCCTTGACGACGACGACCTGGACGGCAATGGCCGAGGCGGCGGCTCCGGCGGCGGCAAACAGTGGCCCGCATGGATGACCGTCAAGGCGCTGCCGCTGACCGTGCAGCCGTGGCTGACGCCGCCGCCGGCACCCATCCCGGTGGCCACCGCATGCCCGAAAAAGGGCGACGCCGCGCCGCTGGACCGTGACCGGAAGCTGACGGTCGGCGGCGGTGCCAAGCCCGTCGTGGTGGTGTTTCTCCGCTGTGTGGGGTGTGCTTGTAAGTGGCCCGAGTCGCCGTTGTACCACTGTATCCGCTAATCGTCGTGACTCGTTGCAGTCGCCCAGAAAACATTCCTCAACCTGCGCACGCTGGCCAACCGCTACGCCGGCCAGCTGACCTGCATCGCCGTCTCGCACTCGTCCTTTGCCGCCACGCAAAAGTGGCTTGACCTTCTGGGCGGCGCCTGGAATGTGCAGATTGTCATCGACGAGGACCGTGCTGTCTACGCCGCGTGGGGTCTCGGACTGGGGTCGGTATGGTACGTGCTGAACCCGAGCACACAGATCCAGGGCTGGAAGGAGACCGGGTGGCTCGGCCAGACAGTGGCAGGTTACATGGAAAAGCGGCAGCCAGGCAAGGGTGGCGGAGCTGGAGCTGGAGCTGGTGCTGGTGCTGGCGCTGGTGCCGACAAGAAGAACGGCGGTGCAAGCGAAGCAGCGCCGCCGCCATTGGCAGGGACCGGCGGCTCGGGTGTGGTAGACGCCGTGTCGGACGGTCCTGCCACCATCATGGGCAACAAGTGGCAGCAGGCCGGCGCCTTTGCCGTCAACAGCCGGGGCATCGTCATGTTTGGCCAAAAGGCACTGCGAGCAGACGACGTTCTGGATCTGGACCAGGCCATTGCGTCGCTGGGCCTGTAATGAATCGGATAGCCGTGTACGATGATGGGGTGCGTGCTTGCTTTTTAATATTCGAGACGGTGTCTGCTGTTCCCGTCTGTTTTTTTTTGATATCTGGGTCGTTTGGAGTTCTTTGGCGCTTGTTGTGTACTTTGCTATTCAACCGCGAAATAAAGCTGTGAAGCGTGAGGCTTTGTAAAATCGAGGTCCGAGTTTGATATCTGTTCCCAGGACTGTGATGTGGTTGTATTGACAATGAAACCAGGTTCCCAAGCCATTATTCAAACGCCCAAATATTAACGAGAGTAGACATGGAAAGTTTACCGGAAGATTGTAAGACACCAAGCAGACCAAGACCAAGAAAGCAACAGTGGAACCACAACCCCTTGTGAAGTCAACAAGCATTAACAAAGGCAACAACATATTGGCCAAAGACCACCAGCTCGCCCACGTGAATCCCAGGGCCGCCTGTGCCATCAGCCTAGTAGAAAATTCCAATGGTGCCACTCAGTTGCGCCGTCCGTTACCTTTTATCCATGCCCTGAACCTCATACGCTTCGTATAACATCGTCTCACGTCGTTTTGTATTGATCCTTGCTTTCGCTTCGTTGTTTTGACGCCTTGTTGAATGTTTCTCCGCATTCCGTTTTGTTCCGTTTTTAAAATATACCGTCCCCAATACATCCAAAGACAACAAAAGAAGAAGCAAAACCCGATGGCCTCAAAACCAACAAAACTCAAAGACAAGAGAAGGGAACAACCGCAACATCCAATATTACTTGCAAGGCCTTCCTGGGGATAAGAGCTAAAGTATAAATGATAAAGAACAACCCAAAGCAACTCATTCCAAGAGGGAAAAAAAAATTCAAAGTCCCCAATAAAAAAAAATACCACTCGCGAGAGAACCCATGGCAACAATGAACAATAAGAAAATGTAAAATCCAACCACCTTCCGATAAAATATTGCCCTCGTTGCTCCTTTGTGACGTAGAAAAAAACAATGAAGATGAAACAAAAGCAAAAGTAAAACAGAGCAGCCTGGAAACCACCAGAGATAATGAAAAGCCACCAAGAAACGACCGGGCCCCCCAAAAAAAGTCAAACTGCGCCGACAGACAAAAGGGGGCTGTTGTAAAATAAAACCTAAAGCTCTAAATCCGTTCTTGAGCAAAAGAAATGCCGTTTAGGTAACTGGAAAAGGAGGGGGGGGACGCCTCGTGTGTGTTGAAAACCGCAATGAAAGGGAATAATGAAACATCGTTCGACAACCGAAAAGAAAGTTGAACAAGCCAACAAAAGCATGCAACACTTAACCCCAGACGCTAGCTTGGACACCCATGCCAGGCTTGCCGCTGTTACCCCAAACGCTGCCGCCGCGGCTGCCCCAGCCGGACACACCCATAGAGCCATCCGGTGTGGTGGCCGCCGGGTTAGACGACGTGCCGCTGGCGGGCGCGTTGTCACTGTTGGAGCCGGGCGCCGGGAAGCCGCCGCTGTGGGACTGGGGAGACGCAAGGGGCGTCGTCGCGCGCTTGTTAAGCGACGTGTTAGCGGCGGACGAGCTCGCACTGCCGGACGGGCGGGTGCCGATGGGCGCAACTGCGCTGCCCTGGTTGGCGCCAGAGCCGGGCTTGCCGTTGATGGGCGAGGTGCCAGGCGACGAGGTGTTGGTGCGGCTGGCCTGCGATGCCTGCTGCTGCTGCGGGTCGTTTCCACCCATGTTCGGCTGCGGGCTGGCTGTGCTGCTGTTGGCGCGAGATCGCGGGGTGGCACCGATCGAGGGCGAAGCGGTCGTGACGCCGTCCTTGGAGGCTGAGGCTTCAGCGGCGGTGCCCGGCGGCTGAGCACGGCCGTACTCGTAGGCGAGCGGCGACGGGCCACGCTGCGAGCCAGGAGGGCCATGGAGCGGACCGGGGACACCGGGGCGCGGGGTGCCCGTCTCATCAATGTAGCCGCCGGTCTCAGCAAAGGAACCCTCTCCGTACAGCGCGCTGCGCTGGCGGGCAATCAGTTCGCGGCGTTCGGTCTCAGACATACTGCTGCCGGGGCTAAGGGTGCGGTCGGGCTTGTTGCCAAACGACGAGAGATCAGCGAGCATAGCAGCGGAGTCTAAAATGGTAACTATGTTAGTCGTATAAATTCGATTTCAAACACCGTGGCGATGGGGTGGCGAGGTTGAATGGTCATGGGGGCCGAAAAGAAGAATGGAAAGACAAAAACGACACAGCCCAAAGTTCCGGATTAGAGAGGAGCGGGGGGAAAAGAGCAAATAGGATAACGGCACTTGCGGTGACTACAAAATATGAAAGGTGTGTTGCATTTGACAAGGAAAAACATCGCTTTCTTCTTGGTTCCCCTTTTCTCCGCCCCATGTGAAGTGATGCCCAGCTCCTCGCGGCCGTGTAAAGTAAAATGACTGCCTTTTTTGACCGAAATGTAGCAAGGCTCTTTCCCGTTCTATGTCATGACCCTGGAATATGTGTTTTTGCTGTCCCCTGTGCCATATAATTGCAAAACGAAATAAAATGCGCGACGTGACGATGTAGAATATAACCAAAACGGTGTACTGGTAGGAGGGAACGATGAAGTGGAAGGGACGGCAAATCGACAGGCTGCAGGGCTTTTGTGTCTTGTGTCGGTTGTGTCTTGGGTGTTGCTTTTGTTGTGTTCTGTGTGCATGTGTGTTGAAGTTAGACGGAAGGGGAAGGCCTACTTCGGTTGTATTGCTGCTCCTGGTGGTAGTTCCGAAGCTCGCGCTCACGCTGGGCAGCCATGCGGCGCTTAGCCTGGATGACCTGCTCGGCCTCGTTTGAGCCGCGGGACGACTGGTGTCTCTGGTTCGCGTAGAAGTTCTGGAGGTTCGACTGGTGCGCGCCACGAGCGTCGCCAAACTCGGCCATCGAGTGAGGGCGCGAGTTCATGTGTCCCTGGCGGCCATCTGTATAGAGGAAAGATGATTGTTAGTGGTCAGGCGAAAAGGGCCGAAAGAATGTCCCATCGGGAACCTGCAATAAACAGTGCAAGTCGACGAGCATCGGCGAACGGAGCCATCAACGAACGGTGAAGGACAGTGAACCGGGGCAGAATAGCCGAGCTCCCGGGCAAGAGGTGTTCAAGAACTCACCAGAGCCCGGGTGCTTCCTAGCAGGGCCAATGGGGGGAGAATTCCACTCACGTCGACCAGGCACCCCAAACATCTTGCCACTCTTAACCAAGTTGTCAATGGCACGATCCACTTCTATATTACCAGTCAGTCACTTGTCTCCCGTATCCAACTGCTGCAACATCGCAATACAAAATCTCGGTGTGTTGGTTTTGGCCCGACATACCCTCGAGCTGATGGTAAAACGGAAGGCCCTCCTGACCCTGCGCCGGTGGCGGAGGTGCCTGGCTCGGGACAGTGGAGCTAGCACCGGAGCGGACAGTCTGGCTGTCAATGTCCAGGTCGTTCCATGCGCTCTGGCCAACGGCAGGCCATGGCCGGGAGCCCTCGTAATAGGACATGATTTGTAGTGTGTATAAACGGTGCGAATAAAACCGGGACGGGCGTTGCAGCGGGACGGAGAAGGGGAGGGTCTAGGCCGACCCACGGAGACCTTCGCTAACCGGCTCGTTAACAAGAGGAAGGGAAAGATTCGAAGAAGTAAGGAAGTTCAACGGTGTCGTGTCGTGTTGTGTCGCTTTGCAGCGTCAGATGCCCACGTAGTGAATGCGGCAGGAAAAAGTAGTCTGTCTGCGAAGTTTGGAGCTATGTTAACAAAACTGATTCGCGGCCATTTGCAATGAAAAAGACGAAAGCTATTCCCGAGAAAAAAAAATTGGCGCCGGAAAATAGTACAGAGTTGCAAGGCGTGGCGAGTTGGCCAGTCCGACAAGGTTAGGGGCAAAAAGGTGCTTGATGGATGGAAATCGAGATTCTTGATAACCGGTAGAAAAAAAGGTCCACTAAGACATAAAAAGTACTGCAGCAAAAAAGATGCTACGGTCTCGACCAATGGACGAAACCTGTGTTAGACGAGAGGGATTGCAGCACAGCTGCGCTCAACATTTCCTTTGTCCTTTTTTTTTGTGTAGGACAAACTGCATTGGGAGATCTTAGGACGGTGTGCAGATAGGTACGATAGGTAGGTTTGCGACCACGAATGTGGCCATGAAGGTGACCTTTTTTGGGTTTGGTATGGGAAACAGGGCCGCGAATGAGGCGGGGAAAATGGAAGAAAAGCGCTTGGCGCAAGCTGTACAGGCGAGGGAGAGCGAGGTAGACAGATGAGGCAGGACAGGTCGACCGCGAAGAGGGGGGCGTACGTGTCTACACACATGTGCGCGGCGGGCGCTGCTGGCAGAAGTCGATATTTCAGAGCGTACGTATGCGGTTTTTTGCTGTTCGCGCAAGGAGACGGCTGGCGCCGCAGCGGGAACTGCCACACGGGGTAAAAAAGGGGATATACTCAGACGATGGAGAGTAGATTCGTGGAGAAAAGAAAAAGGTCGTGTAATGAGCCCGTTGTCGAGGCCTCAGCAGCTGCCGGAAGGTGTCGTCCAGTTGGCCAGCAACGGTTCGAACCGTAAGCGGTCGTTGAAATGGGGCCGAGGACAAAAAAGGAGGCGACAACGTTCGAATTGCGGCAGTCGATATCTTGTCGAAGGGATGGTGTGGCGTGGTCGCCCGCTGACGACTTAGAAAATACCGAAAGAAGGAAAGGGAGGGAGGGCAATGGGGGGCAGAGGGACGAGACGAGCGAAGTGAGGCGCAAAGGAAACAGAAGGGAGGACCCGACTCGGGAAAAGGAGAGACACACAATAGCAGAAAACAGGCGATGCAAGAAGACGTACCCAACAAAGCACAAACCGTCAACCGTCGGCGAGGGACGACAGAGTAAAGGGCGAGAAAGAGAAGGAAAGAAAACAACTGCACGCACACACAAAAGAAAGAGACGAGCCAAAAGTCGAGAAAAGGAGGCGACAAGTAAGAGTCGAGTCGTCAAGAGTCGATCGTTCCGAGAAAATAAGAAGGAGAAGGCTTCCACGAGCAAAAGTCAAAGGGAGGAAACGAGAGTCGAGGTCACGTTTTCCTTGGAACTTTTCCCGTCTGTTTCTTTAATTCTAAGCAGCCACAAGAAACGCTGCCCCGTTCTCTTTTTTTTCTTTTCTGTATTAAATTTTGGTCCCTAAAACCAAGACGGGAGTACGAGTAATTTCGCACGAGGGAATAGTGTCGACCCGTTTTTGTTCGAGATGACGACCGAATTTGGGGGGGGGGGTCCCTGTGCCGGTTAGAACTAGCGAGGGGGACCGTCGAAAAGTGAGCGAGCAGGGGTGTGCGGCGCGATTGAAGCACCTGTAGCGAACGCGGGATGGGGTCGCGAACGGTGCACAAGCGATGTTGGCGAGAAACACTCGAGAGTGTGTGAAAGTGAGAGAATGCAAACACGAGATGAGCAAATCCAAAAAAGGGGGTGGGAAGAGACAACAGAGTCCGTCGACAGCATACAACGACCGAGGCAGAAATGGAAGGAACGTGGAGCAAAACGAAGCGCAACAGAGAGAAGGAGCAATGGAGGCGGACGGGAGTGGGAAACAACAGATGGGACAAAATGCCCCGAAATAGGGGAATTGGAAATGTGCCAAAAACCAATTAAACATAAAAAAGAGTCTAAGCCAAGAATTACCGAGTAAGTCCCTCACTATTCTCACGAAACCGCCCTCCGTTTGGCGTCTTTTTGGGTCTTCCAGCAACAGCACACGACTGGCAGGTTGTCGTTTAGGTGACCGTTTTCTGGCGGATCAGGGGAAACGCCAACGCGACGGCCTGTTGGAAGGCGCGACCATCCGAAAATTGGGGGGGGGGGGGGGGGTTGCCCAACGAAGACACGCACAGTGGCAAGACGAAAAGAGCAGGAGCGCGTAACGAGAGATGTGGGGCAGCATTGTCGGTGCGCTGTGCTCTCTTTTGGCGTATTTCCGTGGACCCGCCAGAGGCGAGACACCAACCCAGCCAGCCGGCTCTTTCTTGTGATATTTTTGTACAGGCTGTAATGCGCTGGATCGTGTACAGCCGGCTTCCAGGCAAAGAACGTCCACTGCCAGCCGCAAGTCCTCCCAGGCCATAGGGTTCGTTCGTCTGGGGTTTGGAGTGTGCGCCGGACCGGTTTGCAGAGAATGGGTTCTATTTTGTTTAAATTTACGAGGTAATTGACCTTTGTTTTTTACTCCGTATTGTAAAGAGGGAAGAGGGAAAAGGGAATAAGAAGCGGGTCAACGGGGAAGCAAAACAAAGTGGGGAGTTGCGAAGAGGACGAGAGAAAGATGAGGAGGTGGAGAGAATCGGGAAAGTGGATGTGTCTGAGTGGACGGGATTTGATGGAAACGGGGAAGAAGTGAGGCAAATTTGGGGCAGCCGCCTCTGTAGGAAGTCTGCGATGGAAGGCTTCGAGATCGTGTGGAAGTATTTTAGAAGAAGCAAAGAACAACGTCGGGAGGCAAGGACAGGACTTTGTTATTGAATTCACCTGCGATGACTCGCACCTTATATTCTACTTGTAAACGTCTTTACTCTGTTCCTCGATAAACTTTTGATTCTGTGTAAGATGTGTTTGATTGCCCCTTTCTGCCATTGCAATTTCACTAAACCGGCTGCTGAGTACGCCGAGTATACGGTGGCGTACCGCCGTACGAGAGCGACGAATGCTGCACCTTGGTGAGCATGGTCAGAGCCAATGTGAGATGTCATATGTCTGTTATCACTCCGTCCGAGATACGGACAGGACGTTGTTGGCAAAGAACGTTGTTGGCAAAGAACGTTGTTGGCAAAGTAGAGGAAGCAGGGTGGCGGAAGTTGACAAGACGCAAACAGGATCGCCAAATGCAATGGGACATCATATCCGATTCTTCAAATCTTCAACACCTGCGAGAAACTATTGTTTGAGTGTCTTCCCCTCCGTCGAAAGCGCTATAATTCGTAGAATTACCAGAATTAAGGAGTTCGAAAACGGAGCCCTTTTAAAATTGGCTCCTTCCCAGGATGGTCTCATAACTGTCGGGAAGGTGAAAAACGGGCCCGGAGATGTGGGACACGAGAGGAAAGAGGAAACTGCTAGGACAGGGAACTGGGAACAGGAACAGGAACAGAAACAGACACAGAAACAGAAACAGAAACAGAAACAGAAACGTCGCATGGCGGGCCCCATAACGGGGGTTGCTGGTGTGCTTGGCACGCTGTCGCTCTTTCCTGACAAGCTGCGGAGAGACGTCGCGGATTGTGAGGAAGCCGCGCCTGGACGTAAACACACGATAATCTTACAATATGACCGACGGCAGCCGCGCGAGGCGCTTGGTAAAGCGGGCGACAGCATGTTGGACCAACAAACATGGTAGACATTCGTATAGCCACGAGACATGTCTTGTTTAGTATTCTATCCAAAGCTTGTAGGGACCATCCGACCCTCATGATGCATTATAAAAATTGCTCTGGATTTGTCCCGTCTTCATTCATCTCTTCCTGACGGATGCCGACAGCGTGGCCAGAAGCCGTTGGCATATTTGAGGTGTCGGTGCCTCGAACGCTTTGCGTGGATGCCATGACATGGTGAAGCGTCGGCTGGGACGCAGTATAGCAGTTATCTTCTCTGTCAACGATAGAGTTGTATTTCTGGCAGCCTGGGTTACCGTAACAGGAAAGGCATGCCCAAAGCCGGGCCGGCCGCCAAAAGCAGTCGCCAAAAGCAGTAAGATGTCTTACCAACAAGTTGGACATGCATCCGCATGCCAGGAAGCAGAGGACAGGATCGTATGTGCTGGCTGGCTGGAAGGCGTGCAGCAGTGTGTGAGTGGGAGGCGACACAAACTCGGGGCAAGAGTTGAATTTCTCCGCCGCACTTGGGAAGACGCGCACTGCCCGGCCCGGTCTCTGGCATGGCCCACCGCGGGAGCGGCCCTTTCACGTCTTTCACGTGGTCTGCACAGCATGGGACGGCTTGGAGGTTTGTGTCAACATACATCGAGACATTGGGAGTTTGTCTATTTGCATATTGTACGACGTATAGGTATGATTTTCTACAATGCAACCTGCATGAGAATCGTAAGGAGCATGACGTCTATTCACAGCTGCGCCAGTTGACGATTTTTAATCAAGATACGTCAATAAACACCGGGTTCGGCCCCTCTTGTTCCCCCTCCTCTTCACCCCCACACCATCACACCATCTCTTATGTTTTTAAGCTGGCAGGCTGGTCTCTAAAGATAGACGCTTTCATGCCCACGCGAGAATCAAAGGGACGAGTCTGGCTGTATGTCGTACAGTATGTCGTACTTTGATTGCTGTTCATTTTTACTGAAATAAGCTGAACAGAGACATATATGAGGGAAAGGGTAAAAATAAATTTAACACAAAAAAGAAATCATATCCTTACTAGAATGTGAAACCATACTGCTACAGTTCTCTCTGCTACCCGTCTTTGCAGTCCCTTCACAGCTATCAGACGAACAAGTGACCACGACCTGCGCTGCACCGTCACCTTACACGGTTCTTTTGCACTTGACCAGCTGCCTGCTCGTCTTCCCGTGTTCTTCCGTTATTCTTGCCTCCCATGTCGTTCTCGGCTGTATTTCCCCGCGTCCGCGTCTTCCTTCTGTTCCCAAAACTATTGTCCCACGTCAGATCAAACCGGAGACTTGTGATGCCAGTAAAATGTGCCGTTCCTATGAAGTAGAACAGAAACAGACTGTTTCGATGCCTGTCCAAACTCCCCAACACCATCGTCACTCACGTTTTCCGATTGCGGCTCTTCTTTGCCTATTCTTTTCCTTTCGATTCCAACCCTTTTACGAGCCGTAACCGGTTGGGAGGGTGAAACCATGGACAGTACTTGGGAAAGTGATGAGGCGTGAAAAATAAGTCAAAATATATTCTGTACAATTTGCATTGAAGACGTCTAATGTTTTCGCTATAATTTATACCTAGTTTTTACATCCTTTTAGGTTGTAATTTCACCTTTTTTTTTTTTTAAATTCTATTTTAAAAAAGTCAATAATTCACAATTATAATTGGGTATCGAACACTAACGTATGGCAGCAACAAGCCTGTTCGAGGCAGTCCATCAGCTCATCCCGTAGAGGAACGAAGTAGCGGGCATGGTTCGCTGGCCACACATTGCCGCGAAGACCCTTTTGAACAGGGACAACAAAGGAGCTGAAAAAACAGCAAAATACAAGAAAGCGTGCCATTTACAGCCCCGACAGGCTGTGATAGTCGGGTTCGAATGTGGCATCGTCGCCGGCGTCCAGTTGGCCCGGGGGCCGAGCAGTCCCATGAGGTGCCCGAACGGCCGGCCGTGGAACCGCAGCACGGTCCGTGTTGACGACGACCTGGTCTTGGCTGCGCACACCGCCGGCCCGGGGCCGCACTGTGGGCGTGGCCGCCACGTTGGCGTCTGCCACGACGGCCACGTCGAACTGGCCGTGGTTCTCCAAGTACTGCCGCCCGGCGGCGCCCACCGAAAAGATGAACTCTACGGGGCCTAGGAAACCCTGTTCCTGGTCGTCGTCGTCTTCGTCGTCATCGTCGTCGTCGTCGTCATCGTCGTCGTCGTCGTCGTCGTCGTTGTTGTCGTCGTCGTCGTCTTTGTCGCCGGGCTGCACGTACAGCAGCGCTTCGGCATGCAGCTCCGATTCGGGCATGCTGCGGTACATGTCCGGCCCGCCGCGGGCCATGTCGCGGGCCAAGACGGTGGCGTCGCGGTACCGGCGCAGGTGCGGCGCCGTGACGAGGCCGATCTTGGTGTACCACAGCAGCTGCTTCCAGTGCGGATGGGTCCACGCGAGGCATTCCATGGTGACGTGGGGGACGCGGCCGGCCGCCAGACGCTCCACGTCGCTCCACGGGATGGACAGGGTGACGACGACCACCGCGCAGACGGGGCCGCCGCGGCGCTTCATGTAGGCGGCTTCGGCCGCGGCGACGGTGTGGTCGGAGCAAAAGTACATGTTCTTTTGATGGTCCTCGTTGTCGAAGCGGACGGTGTGTGTGGACAGAGGCTCTTCCGCCAGCCCCCGCACATCGTGCACGTTGCCCCTGAACCCGTTGTGGGACCAATAGCGCGTGATGCCCGCCTGGTCGCGGGCCATGTAGAGCTGCATACGACTGGACTCGCTGCAGATGCGGTCTTCCGCGGCCTGGCGCGTCCAGGTGGTGGCGGCAAACGCCGGCGGGTGGTAGCCCGGGCGGGCGCGGGGAAGGACCTCTTCGCTCTGATGTCCATGGGGGGCCAAATTCTGTCCGAGACCACCCATGGAGTTCCCCGCGGCACGACGCCGGGACACTTCCCCGACATGCTCGAGGGCCCGGTAGCGCATCAAGATGGTCTCGTCGATCCAGTGGTGGCACGACTTGGTGCGGCGCACGCGGGCGTGGTCCGGGTGCATGATGCTCTCCAGGAATTCGCTGGTGTGAGTATAGAACCGGGGGCAATTGCGCCACTCCTCGTCGCTGTGGCGGCCGTCGACGTCTTGGCACGGTCCGACGGGATAGTGCGTTAGACGGGTCAAACTAAATGGGAGAAAATTGGGCCGCGGCCGTCCTGGCCCTCCCGTTCCTATGAGTTCCGAGCGCCAGCAACGGTAGATATATTTGGCAACAAATGGTGCAATACCGAGATACACCAGCGTTTCCTCCGAGTGAAGCTGGGCGGGGATGCGGACAAAGTCGCCTTCATCTCGTTCCCGTTCTCGGTTGGTGAAGCGGAGGTCGAATGGCGATGGTGGAAGTGGCCGGTTCTCATATTCTTTGTTGCTGGCCACGCTGAGGCAGCGCACATGGATGCGGACCATGTTCGGCTTGTCGGGGTCTTCATAAAAGAGTCCGGCGCGTGCCAACCTGTCTCGGTCGTTATTTGTCACGATGGGGGTACTATCCTCCATTTTGAGCGCAAGGGGACGCCTGAATGAGGCTGTTTCTGTAAAGAGTGTATGTTGAAAGATAGATTTGAGTGTCGAAACGGGAAACGAGAAAGAAACGAATGTGAAGAAAAGAGGTCGGAGCAGTGAGAAATTTGACAAGCCAAGAAGAGAGAGAGAAAGAAGGGAAAGGGTAAGGGAAAGGGAAAGGGAAAGGGAATGTGGCCTCAAGAATGATCACAGTCATGGCCACATGGGAACTTTGTGTACTTACTGTGTGATATCGCTGGATATCTTACACATAAGCCAACACCCACAGTATGAGCATCACGGCACCTTTCCCGGGAAAACATGTACCTTGGGCTGGCCGAGCGAGCCTTTACACGACACTTGGGCCGAGCCGGCCTGATGGAGGTCCGTCAACGATAGACGGGCATGCCATTTGTCGACACACTCTACGAAAATGCTTCCAGAACATGTAAAGAGCGTTCCGTGCTTGTTTGCTAAAACTGGCCGCAGGACGATACGTGGACGACGCATGATTCAAGGAGTACATCAGAGGCGTGTAAGTCCGGAGCGTAGTCGGCCTAGATGACAGGTCGTAGTGGCGCATGATGCATGGCCTTAGCAAAGTACTGTTGTTACTTGTTGACAGACTCCATCGACGAGCGTGTGGCAACATGTGATGGCTTCCAGTCTTAGTAAGTCGACGCACAAAATTAGAATGCCTCGTAAAATGCATTGGTTCTTCAAAGTACACGCTTGTGTCTCCCCACCACCATCCTACTCTATCAAAATTGGTATAAGAAAAAGCGTTCTGTCGCACGCCGTACTCGGGAGCATTTCTGCGCCCGTGGGTACTGCAGATGCTGCAGAAGCAAACGAAGTAAATCACCCGCCTCCAACAGGCATCTGTATCAGCCGCCTACGTTCCCCCCCGACCCTGTCTCGACTTATTCGCTTGTTGGCTTGTTCGCTTCGTCGCCTCCTCTACGCCTCCTGCGGTGTCGCATCGGCGGGGGCCGCGGCCGCCTCCTGCTCAATGGCGTGCGCCTTCTTGGCCGCGTTCAGCGCCTTGAGCTTGGCGGTGCCGAAGCCGGCCACGCCGTCCTCCTGGTTCGCGCCGAGCCACGGCTTCTTGGCGTCGCCGAGCATGCTGCCGCTCAGAAAGTAGACGACCAGGCCGAGGAGAATGAGCACAAAGGCAATCGGGTACAGGTAGTAGATGGTGTACCCAAAGACGTGGATGCCAATGATGACGCCCCAGAAATTGGCCGTCAGCAGGGAAATGTCAAAGAAGGCGGCGCTGCCCATGCGCAGAATCAGCGGCGCGAGCGTGTAGAAGATGGTCAGCGCGAGCGTGTAGCCCACGAGGTAGCCAATGACGGGCCCCGTCCAGTTGGCCTGCTGGACGGAGGTGCGGTCGAAGATGGCGGCCTGGACGCCGTTGATGCAGGCCCCGAAGAAGCCCAGGCAGGCCAGCACCTCGTACATGGGCTTGCGGCTGACGAACCACTCCTCAAAGACGTTGCTCATGCCGTACAGGCTGGCGCCCAGCAGGCCAAACAGGTCGCCCTTGAGCTTGTCGACGGTGGGGCCGCCGTTGGAGCCCGTGATGTGGTCCGACGCCAGCAGGATGCCCATGCCGCCGCAGGCAATCAGGATGCCGAGGATCTGGAACGGCCGGTAGCGCACGCGCAGCAGCACAAACGAGATGATGACCACGCAGACAATGGACCAGAAGTTGAGCAGCTGCGCGCTCAGGATGTTCGTGTACTCGTAGGCCAGCACGGTAAAGTAGTTGCCCTCGACGTCCAGGAACGACAAGATAAAGTACTTCCACCCGTCGCGGATCAAGATCGTGTGCACAACGTAGCGCCAGCCCTTTTTGTAAAAGGTCAGCGGCACGTAGATGATGAGCAGCAGGATGTAGTTGAAGAGCGTCTGGAAGGCCGGGATGTTGGTGCCGTTGTTGGACAGGAAGCTCGTGAACGTGTTGGTGGCCGTGATGCACAGCGACAGCACCTGGCCAATGAGCACCACGATCCAAAAGTCCCACGTCTGCAGGTAGCTGTACCAATGCACCTTCTTGTTCTCGAGTGTCCGGAGACCCTCGCCGACGGCCAGGTCCTGGGCCACGGGCACATCGGGCCCGGCAATCGGGGCGTCGTGGTCGGCATCCGCCTCGACAGGGGACGTGCTGTTGTTGACCACGCCGTTGTTGTCGGCGCCGGCCTCAAAGGCCTTGTTGTAGCTCTCAACCGTCGACATTCTGCAACAGGTCAGTAGGGAGAGGCACAAAACGTCATCTGGCTGGGCAGAAAGACCTACCTGTGGGCGAGCGACGTGGAATGTATTTCAGAACGATCGCGTTTCGTTCGTTTTGCTATTTTCGTCTTCGAATCTCTCTCTTCTCTCTCGTGCAAGTCTTTCTGCCGGGGCAGCGAGCGCAAAGACCTTCAAGTCGCTCGCTATGGCCCTAAGCCTGTCGGGATATCGTGTCGTACGTCGTCGAGTTGCGTGCGTAATGCATCGACGGGGCAGTAGCCGTAGATGCGCGAAGAGTGGCGGTAATGGGTGCAGTGAGCATGGGGTTTGACGGATGGCGGAGAATGGTGGATTGCGCTGTGCTGTGATAACGTCAAACGTGGGCGCAGTGAGTCTGCTGAGGACAAGCTGAAGACAATCTTCTGTCGCGATGAAGAAGACGGCGAGGAGTTGAGAGGAGGGGACAACATAAAAGACAAAAAAGTAAAATAAAAAAAGAGGCCGATAAGGAGCTAGACCGATACAAGAAGGCCTTTTCCAATTGTCGCGGCAAAGAAGAAAAAAACGTGAACGGAGCTAAATCATGGCCTCGACCGGGGTCTGTCTACCAATGGCGGGCCGCAATGGTTTGCCGAAAGGTCGTCGAGAGGGCTCCGTACCGACATGGTCGAGTAAAAGAACGAAGGAAATTGGCCGCGCAAGGCGAATGGCGCGCGGGGCCTGGCCAGTAGCGCGTCCCAAGGCCAAAGAGACCCCCACCTGGCACTGCATCTTTGCCCCCATGTGCCAATTTCTATGTGCTAATCGTGGGAAGAGGAGGGCGAAGTTTTCCACGTCAATGGCAACGGGGGATTCAAGTCCAGCAAGCCGAATGGAGCAGATCGAGAAAGACGCTGGGAAGACAGAACGAAGTCGAAGGGACGAGGCCGGGCAAAAAGCAAGCGAGGCTTGCTCCGTCGTAGAGCATCGACTGCGAGGAGGACTAAGATGATAACTAAAATCCACCGACCGGGGTGAATGTTCGCTTTCCACCTGGGCGCCTGGGCAGGGCACGTTCCGCTCTTTCAGGTGCCGCGTTCGGCTGTCGCCTTTCCGTCTGCTGGGCAAACCTTTTCTCGCGATGAAGATTTGCGGCCTATCAGAACGCCGCCGAAATCAAAAGACAAATAAGCCCTCCAAATAAAAGTCAAAAGTCAAAATTCAAACAATGAAAATGGCAATTTGTTCCTGACCATCAGACGTCAGCTGTATGGCCTTTTCTAAAACCAAAGAGAACATCCAAAACCGCGAATCCAAAACTTGTTCCCTAGGATACCATTTTGCCGTCTGTTCGTAATCCTGTTGCCCCCAAAATGTCCCCAAAATGTCCCCTAATGTAATGATACAGCGCAAGATAAACGGGCCATAAACAACCATCCAAAAATAATATACAAAACTAGAGACCAAGGAAAAAGAACAGCGGGGCAAAAAGGAAGGTTAGACACCATTGCGGCTTCATCCCTTATCATACAACTCCTACAAACGGAGCCGCCTCGCCTAAATAAACGTTGTCCCAAAACTGTCCACCTTGTCCGTCGGCGTGTGCCGGTCAAAGGTCAGGTGGCCCAGGGGCAGCTTCGGCGGGCCCTCGCCCTTGATGGCGCTGGCGCCGTTGCCGACACCGCCGCCGACGCCAATGATGCGTTCATGCAGCGCGTCGCCGTCCACGTTGTTGAGGTGGCTGACAATATTCCAGCGCTTGTTACCCCTTGGGCGACGACAGCGCGTCGTCCATGGACAGGATCGAGGGCCCGCGCGCTACACCGATGGGGCCGGCCGGCAGTGGTCCCAGGCCGTCCTCGGCCTTGTCCTTTTCGTTGTCTTCGCCCGTTTGGTCCTTTTCGTCCGGCCGCAGGTGGTTGTCGCTTTCGTCTTCGTTGACACCGCCGCCGGCATCGTCACCGCCCCAGCTGTACCGACTCTCCGGACTGGCGACCTGCTTGGCGAGGGGATCATCGTTGTGCTTGTCCTCGACAGCTGCCGGTGTTTCAGGGTACGCGCCGACCATCCGCTTCTCGAGCGTTGTGTTCCCCGCAGCCACCGAGGCTTGTGGGACGTCCTTGGGCGGCACCGCGGGTGGCACTTCGGGTGGCATTTCAACGGAAGCGCTGGGCGCGGCGGGTTCTGGCTCAGGATTAGGAACAAGCTTCTGCTGGGGTGCCTTTTCGAGCGAGTCAAGGCGGTTGGGGCGCACCCACGGCGCATCGGTCGGAAGGTTCTGCAGGATGTCGGCGCCGTCAAACGCGTATGGTCCAAGGCCAATGTCACGCGCATACACGCTGGCAGTGAATGCCGACTTGGACTTGGTGGGCGAGGCCTTGACGTTTGGGAATAGCTCGTCCTCATCCCGCGCTGCATCGTCGTCGTCATCGCCATGGTTGCTCACTGAGCTCGGCGTCGCAGGCGTGACGGGCGTGGCTGGCGTGGCGATTGTGGACTCGGCGGCTACGGGAGCCTCGACAACCTGCTCAATAATATTCTCGGGAGTTTCTTCAGGAGCATCCTTAGCTGCGTCCTCAGGGGCACCCTGAGGGGCATCCTCGGCAGTTTCGTCAGGTGGCAGCACGAAAACAGAAGGCAGAGGCCAGTTGGCTGTTGGTGACGGCTCGGGATCCCCAGCTGGCAGAGAAATAGGCGAGAGTGGCGGCTCCGAGTCGAGGCTGGGGCGTTGGACTTCGGTCTCAACGACCTTGTCGTTGTTTTCCTGGTTCTGCCGGATTTCCTGGATCTTCCGGTCGATTTGGTTCTCTTGGCCGAATCGGTCGTCGCGAACTATCTCCTGCGCATCCACAAAGTCGTCATCTTGGCTATGCTTGGTGTCCTCCCGAACCAGTTTCATGCTTTCGGGTGTCTGCGGGTGGCTGAAAGTCTCTTGTTTGGCCACCACTGGTGTGCTGACACGACTTGGCTTCTCCTCTACTTCCTCGTCAGCATCTGTGAAGTCAGACTTCGTGTCAGAGCTCTGGTCTGTCGGTGTCTCTGGCGGTGTGTCACCCATCTCGACAGACGACACCGGGCGAGCCATAGCCTTTTGCGTGATCGGGCTGCTCTTGACAGATATAGGCGATGTTGCCGTTGGCGTCGCCACCTCTTCCAACGGTGCCACTTCCGGTGTTGCCATTGGTTCTTTGGATAGGGAGGTGGCAGCGAGGATATCCTTGGTCTTGTTCAACACGGTCAGCCCGGAACCCTGTTCGCGGGCGCCCATCGGTGAGCTGGGTGTCAAGGCCCGTGTCGTTACTGTCGACGCAGCTGCCGGCGACTGTGGGTGGAGTGGTGGGATCGGTGACGCATCCCGCGACGGTAGTGGGAAGCTGTTGAGTGTCGCCATGTCAAGGCTGCCCGTAGACTGAGACTGTGGCATATCCAGGTTGCCCCGCGGCGGGTTGCTTGTGGGCTGCGCGAGCACTGTTGTCTTTGTCGCAGTCGCAGTTGTCGGAGTCGTGTCCGTGGGATAGCTCACTGTCTCTGGCTCTTCCTCTTCCTGGATAGCAAAGTCCTTGACCTCGGTGCCCACAGAGCTCGCGGGCCTCTCCTCGACAACCTCGGCCACATCAGGTAGCTGGCGGTCGGCCGCGGACGGGCCCTCTGACAGCTGTGAGTTGGGGAGTCGCATGGCACCGGCCATGGGCGGCAGGTTGCGCCGCTCACCGCCAGATAACGGCGGGCCAAACGACTGGTAGCCGCCGGCCACTGGCTGGTCCAGCGGCTGGTAAGCTACGGGGTTCTCGACAACAGGGTATTGGCCAGAGCGGCTGGCTGGATACGCTCCCGCATGTTCTGGGTAGCTGTTGGGGAGATGAGGAGGGCTGCCAAGAGGGCTTCTGAGAGGACCATACTGTGATGGGTCCCGGTACGAAGGACCCGAGTCTCCTCCCATAGGCTGCGGTGCCCGTGTTCGCGGAACTGGTCCATTGCCAGCGAACCGTGGCCCAACATCACCGCCAGAGCTTGAGTGGGGTATGGCATAGGGCGGGCTCCGCATGTTCCCTGGTGGGCTCCGCACAGAGGGTGGTGGGCTTCTGAACTGGTTTGGTGTCATGGAACCGCCGCGAGACAGGTACGGAGGATGCCCTTGAGGAGACGAAGGACTTCTCATGCTGGGATAGTCTCTGGGGCTCCGCGGAAGCTGCTGCATGGATTTGGTACTGCGCAGCGCCTTGGGCGGGTTACCGTAGGGAATGCGGCCCTGCTGGAGATCAAAATCGCTGCCAATGCGGCGCGGACCGTCGCGGCCGGCTGATGCAGGCCGAGTGGGCGGCCTGGGCATGCTAGATGACGACAATTGCCTGTCGAAACGGCCCATGGCGTACGGGCTGCCGTCGCTGATGTTGCTGTAATACCGGTCGCGCGAGTCGGGCCCGTTGGTATAATGGCCCTGTGAGGATTGGCTGCGAGGTCCGTAGCCTGGCGAGTAGGGCTGCTGCTGGCGCCGAGGATCATAGTTGCTTTCAGTCCTGTAGCGTGGGTCATACCGAGGATCTTGGCGGGGGTCGTAGCGGGGGTCGTCGTGCCGAGGGTCGTACGGGCGGTCGTTCTGATGCGTGCGCTGGGAGGGAGGGAACTGGTGAGGATGGTTTGGCCGCTGGTCGTACATATGGTGATGTTGTTGGTAATAAGGCGCGGACTGCGGGTGCGGCGGACCATTTTGCCGCGGCGGAAGGCGGCTTCCACCAGGGCTCTGCTGTTCCCCTATCCACGATTTCTCCAGCTGGTCGATTTGCGCACCCCAGCTGCGCCGCTTGGGCACTTCAATGGCAAGATCCCTCTGCAGAGCAGCATCTTTGGCCTTGCGTACACGGGCTTCTTGGTAGCCAGGCCCGGTTGGTGTAGCATCGCGAGAACGTGTGCTCAGCGGTGCCGGCACAAGGATTTCCGACTGTGGCGGAGTAGCGCGATTGGCAGCCTCGTTGATTGCTAACTGCGCTTCGTCGCCAAAGCTAGTGGACTGGTTGAGCATACCACCACTGGCCCTGCCATCGGCAGATGACTGTTTGCTGCTTTGCAGAGGCCACACGGGCTCTGGTGACATGGAAGGTGGGGATTGGTTTGATACAGTGGAGGGCGGCGAGGCAGCTCTCCGGTCGTCATTTGAGGAGCCTTGGACTGACGATTCTGTCGCATCCGTATCCGTGGGTGCTGAGGATGAGGTGGACATGTTGTTATCGCTCAGGCTCTGTGAATTGTGCAAGCCTGACCGTGTTGGCGAGTTAGTGCCAGACCGCACGTCGGTAGATGCGGCCGCATTGGAAGGACCTGCAGCTGCCGTTCCTTGTGGTGTTTCCGGCCGGTTGCCAGCCGCCGGGCCGAACTGAGCACTGAATGAGTGGCTGTGCGCCCACGGTTTCGAGCCCGGACCATGGGATGTGCTTGGCCGGACGTCGCCGTCGAGAGGCAATCGACTTGAGCTGAAAAAGCCATCACCGCTTCCACTGCTCTCGGGGCCACTCATACCAGAAAAGGTGCCGGTCCGCTGCTGAGGCGCGCCATTGCCCGAAGTCCAGGGGCGAGACGGTGCGTGAAATGCGCTGCCGCTCAGCTTTTTTGAGAAAATCCCGCGCGCGCCGGGCGGTGAATTTTGCTGTGAGTCGGGGCGAGATAACGGCGTGGCCGCGCGCTCGGGGAAAAATTCGGTGCCCGCAAAGATTTGGGTCGTGCTGCCTTTGCCTCTCATATATGGGTCGTCGCCGAGGAAGGCTTGGTTGAATATGTCCTTTTCTACCTCGACATCTTCTTCCTTGGCTTTTCCCTTCCTGTAAGAGTTGTGAGTTGTTAGTAAATGTATGATGCCTTCGACGAGTATATCCGGGACAGACCGCGATGGACTCACTTCTTCTTGTCAGACCCGCGCTTGAATGAAAAGATGCCCATATTTGCTGTTGAAGGTCCTAATTTCTCAGGATTGACCTCTATTCAAAATGTCGATTCCTGAAGATATGACCAAAATGCCCGGAAACTGGAAACGAAGTCGAAAAGTAGCGCGGTATAAACGAGCTGTATTTTGGTGTCGAATCGGCCCACCGTGCCTGTTTTACAGCTGATTTGGTATATCGTCGAAGCCGTAAAAGCAGGTGCAACGGTGGTTCCAGTATGTTGCAGGGAAGGTAGAACGTGACGAAGGCGATGCTGGGGGCAGTCCAAACATCATGTACTCGAGTGTATACGCCTGTAAAAGGTGGATCGAATATGAGTGTCTCGAGAAAAACAAAGGCGAGAATGGTGTCAGGTGTGGAAGAATGAAAAAGAAAACGCGAAGAGATTAAGAGCATTACCCAACGCACAACCGAAGCAAAGAAAATTGGACACATGCTTTTGGAAGAAAATAACACAATACATCTGCCCGTCCCTGCAAAATCAACTACATCGGACCCAGGCGGAGCATTAGTGGAAGAGGGAAAAAAAAATAAGAACGCGCAAAGGGGGAGGGGAAGAAGGGGGGTTAGCATCAGTGATCGACACGAAGCCAGGGACAGGAACTGGTTTGCGACAGCGCGTTGAGAACATGGACACAGGGAGACAGGCGCAGGCACAGAGTGACAAAAGGAAGCAAAAAGTAGGCAGGAGGAACCAAAGACGCCATGCTCTAAGACATAGATTCTCCACTCTTTCGGCCAGGAATGTGATGCCTGGACCACAAGCCGAAAGAAAAAAGCAGGAACTGGAGAGGCGGACGCCCGTAGGTCGATCGAGACGATCAGAGGGTCCCATTTTAGCGTGAGACCGGGAAGACGAAAGGAATAGCAGAGGTCCTCAGAGCCAAGCAGGCAAAAGTACTATAGGACGCGTCGTAGTTGGCAGTGGTGAGCAGCAGCGGACAGGGGACGGTAATTACTTCCCTCGTCCAGATCAATTTTAGCTGTCGTTTTTGAGTTTTGCCTATGGCAAGCTCCCGAGCCAAGGGAGAACAGTGATCGGATGTCTGGCATGGCTGGGAAAGGGAACAGCGGTTTGTCCCAACTGGTGTCTCCAATGAGAAACTCGAGCAGCGTGAGCGTTCGAGAGATAAAGACAGGTCCTGGAGACACAATGTTAAGACGGGGTCCAGAGGGCCTGTGGTTGCTCTGGCGTGTGTTATTTCGGCCTGCACCCCGTCTACTTTCGGGCATAGATGGAGAAAGATGCAAGATCCGGCCCTTGGTTTGTGATGCACGACGCATGCCGTGAGATGACTTGCAAATGCCAGACAAAGTCTACACGGATGCGTACGAATGCCGTTGGAGTCGTTTGCTTTATGGCCATTTGTATTTTTGTTCCGTCGTGTCTTTTCCCTTTATATCTCTCCGGACACATTTAAGTGCAGATGCCCCATCGGTCCACGCTGCCGGCTCTTCCAGGCTTTCTGACCTTGCCAGCCTGCTAGCCTGTCTGGTCTGAACTCGTCTGAAATCACTGATGCCAGTCTGGCCTTGGCCATATTCTGGGAGCGTCTGCAATGTGCACGCAAATGTGTGAATGTGTGAAGTCTGAAGTGTTTATTAGTACCATTTCTGTGACCTGGATTCTGGATTGGGAATCTTGAACGGCAGACCCGGTTCACTAGGAGCCTCGACCCATATCTCTGTTCTTTGTCAGTCAAGACGCCGGCCGTGGGCTATTCATCCACAATCTTCACAATGATCCACGCTGGCCTTGGTTGGCCCACGATAGACTGCGCTGGCGCATCTCTAGGATCTTTCAAATCGAAGCCATCGGCAAGTAGGAAAAGTAAAGCAAAGAAACATATGGAACAAACCGAAAAAAAGCACGGCCTAAAGAGCAAATGCCCACCTGGACGAGCCCTAACCCGGAAGCCACGAACATGTCTCCGAGGCCACACCCTTGTTCAACGACATTTGCCGCCAGCAGCCTGCCAGATGAATGGCTGGCCCCTGTCCCCGGCGTTGCCTTAAGCCAGGGGCTGGAAAGGCGAAAACAAGCAAGACGGAAGCCGAGCGGACTAAGGACAGGGAACTAGCCAAGGGGAAATCTGTGCGATGCCGTCACTGGGTTGTATTAGCACCTGTCAAGTGTATTTTTGGACCGAGGGCCCTGGTCTGGCCTACGAGCCTACCTAGCATCAATGCCGTCGCCCAATTTTTCGTGTGGTCTGTGTTCTTCCACATGCAGCGAGTGGCACCTTTGTCGGACGACATGTGTTGAAGCAAGGAGACGAGACAACTTTGTTTGAAGCAATTTTGGTGGCAGCAGCTGAAGGCCTACATTGACTCGAAACTCGAAAGCAGTCCCTTGCATCGATTTCGTCGTTCGTCAAAGGAGATGGTTACAATGCCTGTTGGCGATGATGCTAGACTGACGGTTTCCAATGCCAGCCACGCCGATTTTTGTCTGTCTTTTTCTGCAGAGTTCTTCGACTTGGTCGCAGAGATATGCACTGTGCCGAAAAGGGGCACGACGCAGGAAGATGGAGAAGGCGACCGAAGAGATGAGGCGAAGAATCACTAAGAAAAGGGGTCACGATGAGATCGGTGTGAGGTTGCTACGATATGACTCCTAGCTGCGCCAGAGAGGGCAGGAGCAAGGAGGACCTGTTGTATTGGGGTAAGCCACAGACAGAGAAGGAAGGAGCATTCACTGTGTTTTGGCAGAGGTAAGGGAAGCCGCGGGAAAGGCAACAGCGATGCCGTACTCGTAAGTTGCACGCCGTAGCTCCTTCCTACTGCGTGTTTAAAATCGACATTTGCATGTTTTTGCCCTCTCCCCTTGACGAGTCTTCTCTTCTCGCGGTCGATTCGCGGTCGTACCTTCCTTATCTCAGGTGTGGCCCGTTTGCATTATTGCGCAGATGCGAGCAGGTACAACCCACGCACACCTGCGCCTGCAGCACACTCTTATCGCGTTTTCGAGAGTGAGTCCACGCGCCTTCCATTTCGTTTCCTTCCTACGCTCAAGCTACTTCCTCCTTCTGTTGCTGACGTCCTCCGTTCCTCAGCGCTCCTGCCCCAGTTTTGTTATCAAAAGTCCGTGTGCTCTTGTTGGAGAGGACGGGCCTCTTTCCCCAGTCGCGTCTCTTTCGTGTTGGATTTCCGTCTCCTCCGCAATGCTGACAACCCCCCTCTCCCCCCACTCTAATGTATCCTCCACGCCTTCATCCGCTGCTTCATTTTCTTCGTCGAAAGTTGCGCGTCGTGTCGTAATTTCCGCCGTGTCTAGCTTCGAAACAACCCAAACGCCTTTCCCGTCAATGCCGCTGAGCAAACGCGATTTCAAATGGATGGGTGGTATTTTCACGCGATTTAGCGTTGCGTGAGCGGAAGAACGGGCCTTTTCTTGATTGGGTAACGGGCAGCTCCATGGATTCCAGAGGCGGACTCTAATGTATTTAGCAGCTTGAAAGTCCGGCCAGCGCGCACAGTGCAATATGGCCACGTTCAAAGTAGACATCAACAATTAATCTTTATTGCGAATTCCGTAATTCGTATGTACGCCTCTATTGTCTAGTATTTCCAGTCCGACCAAAACATGTGGCACGCCATGTCTTACATGATCTCACATCTTTGATATTGCATATTACACAACCTCGGTTTCCGACGCGGACGACGCTGTGCTCTCATCCGGCTGTCGCCGGGCCTCTGTCTCGGCCGCCAGCCCTGCTTCTCTCTGGAGCATCGGCAGCGGGATGCGGAAGACGACCACGACGAACGTGCCCACGAAGCACACGCCTGCCGCAATGATGAACGGCAAGCCCGCCCAGAGACCGCCGAGTACGACGCCGCGCTGCAGGGCGCCAAACAGGACGGGCGTGGTGACCATGATGCCGCTGTACTCGAGCAGGCCCAGCAAGGCGTTGAGCATGGCCAAGTGGTGCGGCTCGACAAAGGCGTTCAGCAGGCTGCGCATGGCAGGCGAGTAGCCGCCGCCCAGCGAAAAGACGACGAGGGCCATGGACAGCAGCCAAGGCGTGGCGGCAAAGGCAATGAGGAGCGCGCCAAACACAATCAAGGTACCCGAAACACGGGCAATCCAGAGGTCCTTGCGGAGAGGGGAGCCGTCGATGCCAAGGAGGGGCCCGCTCTTGAGCAGCACGGTGCTCGCCAGCGGGAGGAGGACGACGCAGAGCACGAGATTGGTGGTGCTGCCGATGGTCAACAAGAAGGCGGCCTGGCTCCAGGACCAGGCGTATCGTTCGGTGGCGTACTGGAGCAACAGGGTCTGCGCAAAACGGGCGACGGTGGACGAGACAAAGGGGAGCAAGAGCAGCAGGAGCGGGCGGTTGCGGAGCATGAAAAGCGAGGTGGCGCGAGCGTCCGTGCGCAGCAGGTGCAGGAATCTCTGCCAGGCAGAGCCAATTTGACTCCTCTTCGGCGGGGGTGATATCGCGACAGCGGACGGCGGCGGGTCGTCATCGGCGCACGTGTCCGAGTCCGAGGCGGCACGTACTGACGCCGTCTCCCCAGAACCAACTGCGGCTGCCTTGCCAGCCGTCGGGTCAAAGTGGAGCGTCTCGGGCAGCAGCAGCAGCACCAGGCCGCTCACAAGCAAGGCCACGAAAGCTGCCATCAGCGGCATCCAGTGGCCACCCCACAGCAGCAGCGTGCCACTCAAGGGGTTGGCAATGAGTTCGGCCACCAGGAATACGGCCGTCAGCCGGAAGTAGCGGTTGGCACGCTCGGCCTGCGGCGTGACGTCGGCCAGCACCGTGAACGCCATGGCCGGACCAACGGACTGGAAGCAGCCGACAGACCCAAACAGCGGCGAGAGCCAGAGCGCCCGGAGCGGAAAGACACTCGCAAAGTAAAATACGGTCAAGTACCACCCATATTGGAAGGTGAGCCCGGCCCAGGCCAGCAGCAGAACGGGTTTGCGGCCCAGGTTGTCGGCCAAGATGCCGTAGGGCAGCGAGAAGAGAATGTTGGGGATGCACTCGAGCGCGGTCTGCCAGCCGAGCACTTGCGACAGACGGCCCTGGATAGCGGGGGCTTTGCAGCGGGGATCTGCGGCCCTGCCGGAGCCGCCGGGGCCGACGACCCATGTGTCGCCGTAGCGCTGGCGGCAGATAATGGCCTCGATCATGCTGCTGATGGCTGGAATGGCGGTGCCAGCGGCGACGTGGACAATGAAAATAAAGACAAAGTCAACGAGGACGACCCGTTCGGCTATTGTCAAGCGGACGACACGGCGGGCGAGCCTTTGTAAGCATGCCGCGGAAGAGGATGATGCTGTCTGTTGTGATGGTGGTGCTGCTGCGTCCGCCGGCGGGACGCGTCTGGAGCCAGCCCCAAGCAGAGGCGCCTGCTCGTCGACTGTATGGTCGGCCATGGCTGCTCTTTGTCGACGCAATGCACCGAATGAATCAATGTGAAAGTAGCAATTGCCGTAGATGGATGTGCATGGAGGACGGGCAGAGCATGATGAGAGGCCGTAGATTTGAATATTTTCAATATTTTCGCGGTCCCATCTCGGATACGACGTTTGGCTTTGTAGTCGATCCTGTCAAGTCCACTTACACCGCGAGTAATGCAATATACTGTTGGCGTGGATAACAAAGGTGGATGGAAAACAAAACGAGTGTCCCTGCTGCCTCCTGTACTCAGCAGGGAATGTCGTAACAGGCCTCGCAACCGCTCTTCTCTCGTCCCTCTTCTCTCTCCTCGTCCCTTATTAGTGACCGAAATACGAATTGCGATGCTTGAATAACTGGCGGCTGGACCGATTGCATGTCGGACACTTTTGCAGCCACGTCAGTCTTGCCGTCGTCGACGAAAAAGACCGTTTCTTATATTAGACGATTGCGTGACATGGCTTCGCTGGATTCGAGTAAAATAGATTTGACGGGTAAGATTTGAGGGAAAAAAACGATCAAAGCTTTATTTGAAATGTCAAGTCCAATTGTCCCGCCCTTTCAAATATTACTTTTGTCTTGAGGGGCTCTTCGACTCGACACTAAAGGCACCATAGACCGTACTCCGTTCACTGCACTGGCCGTCAGCATGAGCCGTCAGCCGTAGCGGTCTGACATCAACCTTCCCAATTCGGACCTTCCGATCTGAATTGCTATTTTGTGCATTTCATCGCCTTCTTTTTGCTTTCGTCTCGCCACAAACGTCGGCATCCAGACCCACTGGATTGAGTCCTGGCCTAGGCTCTGCCGCGCACGCAGCAAGGCACGTGAGACGCGCCCTTCACACGCGCTGACACGCTTCAGAGGTACCCAACAATCATATCCAAGTATACATCATAAGTACAATCACAAAGCCATTCCAAGGCCACCCAAATGCCCAATCTACCGCGAGTCGTGTCGCGTGAGCCGTTGGTAGGCATTGCCTTGTCTTTTTCGCGTGCGGTTCTGACCGTTCATCTCCGTGGAGGACATGGGGACACACACAAACCGCACAAACATGAGCTGACGATTCGTGCAGCCACACGACGAGGCAAAGTGGACTAAGCTGGTCAAGTACGGTCTCTCTTACTTCGTGGATATCCACAGTCTGGCATTCCCACTGACATGAGGACAACAGGGTCACGTATGAGGACGCCGACGGCAAGTCACGCATCTGGGAATCTGCCGAACGCACCACACGGCCCCCAGCGACAGCAGAGCAGCCAGATGTCGTCGATGGCGTCGACATTGTAGCCATCATTCGGGGCACCCCGGGCGCACCCGATTCCCGCATCGTCCTCATTAAACAGTTCCGTCCGGCCGTTGGGCGCACTGTTATCGAGCTCCCGGCCGGCCTCGTCGACGCCGGTGAGTCGGTCGACGAAGCCGCCGTCCGTGAGCTGCGTGAGGAGACGGGCTACGTGGGCCGCGTCAGCGCCGACACGGAAGCCTCGCTCTCGCCGTCGCTGACGCTGTATGCCGACCCGGGCTTTGGCAACAACAACTTGCAGATTGTGTATGTAGATGTTGACGGCGCCGATGCGCGCAACCTGGATGGAAACCGCCGGTTGCAGCTCGAAGAGGGCGAGCTGGTCCAGGCGGTCTTCACCGTGCCGCTGACCGACCTTTTCGTGACGTGCCGGCGCCTGGCGAACGAAGGGTATGCCATTGACGCGCGCGTGGGAACACTCGCCGAGGGCATGGAGATGGCCGGGCGGTATTTGCGTCTAAAATAAACAGAGGCACTGAGAATGGCATCCGCTGGGCACTTTCGTTAAGAGTATGTACTGATATTGTAGTTGCTACTTTCATGGTACAGGGCTATCTAATACAGTCAAAAATAGTATGCAAAATCGAAACATTGGAAGAGAGAAAAACGAAAGACGATGCAAGGAATATGCATTCCACATCCGCAGCCACAGGGCCTGGTACGTCTTTGAGAGAAAGGCAGAACACCGGAAAGAAAACACTGCACGTAACCGCCATTGGATGCGTGCCTGCGTGGTCCATACGGCACTTTTCCATGCATTGTGTCTTGACACCTAGGAAGCAACCCATGGTAGTTGTGACCTAACCATTCCGGTTTCCTTTTCCCATTCCCTATGCCTGTGTGGACAGCTGCCCAGATTGTCGGAGCTCAGCGCTAGAAGTACCCAATATGTCAAACGGCGAGGCTGGGGTTGTCTTCTTCTTCTTCGTTTTGTCTTTTTTTTTCCTTTTTTTCTTTTCTTTTCTTTTCTTTTCTTTTTGTTTCTTTTTTTTCTTTTTTTTTTTTGTTGCCAAATGATTTATTTTCTGGTGAGGATCTTTCATCATTTTTTGTCCTTGAATATTTTAAACTTTTTTTCGGGGTTAATTTTCGCTGGGGTTTGAAGAGCCTCAACAGATGGCCAGGGCCTGACGAGCAGACCTTTACTCTTGACCAGAAGGAGGCAAAGAATGAACAAGCAAATGAGAAAGCCTCCCGTAAGAGACAAAAAAATTAAAAAAAAAAAAAAAAGCGAAAGAGAAGAAACAAACAGCCCCCCTTGGAAGCTTTTTGCAAGAGAAGCCTGTCTGTCAAACTTACCTACGGCGGCTTGCCGAAGCGCACGGTGGATGGATGCGTCTGAAAGTACCCTACGGTCATGCTGTTGTCATTGTGCTTTCGCCGACGGAGGTACCGGTGCGTTGGGTATGTTCGACAACACCGTCAAGACGTGATCCTGCACGATCTTGTAGAAGGCGCTATTGGGAACAAGACGGCTCTCATCCGGCATGTTTGAAAAGGTAGACTGCTCTGGTCTACCCTTACCCTTCAACACAGAAGGTAGACCGATAAGTACGTCTTCGGTCTTGGTCCCTTGTGAATTGGTCTCAGTAGCCGTGATCTTTTGCTCAACGGCTACTGCGGCTGCGGCCACAGTCATAAGGCTTCCCTGGTCGGCTTCAGGGAGGTATGGGGTAGAGTCTGAATCGCCCACGCCCGCTATGGCGACCAGCGGCTCGTCCCGCAGGCTGTAGTCGACATCTGCACACATTTGTATTGTGTTAGGAGAGTGCAAGGTTTTATGGAAATGAACAAATAAAAACGGGGCGCATCAGCAAAATCGTACAAGGTGAGGGCGTATTCTTGTCTCTGTAGCTAGGAAACAAGAGACGGTACATGTGCGTCCACTTGTCGGACTCGTTCTGACAGTCAATCTTTTTGCGAGAGCGAAGCTTCTTTTCGATTTCGAGGTCGAAGCCGGTGTCTTCCGCCACGCTGCATGTCGACACGGCACACGCAACCTCTTGGCGGAGGTGCTCTCGCAAGTTCTCCTGGAGCTTGAAAGTTGTGGAGCACCGGTCACAGACGTAGTGCATATGGTGACGATACAGATGTTCTCTGGTTCGGTTAGATAGGAAATGTACGAGTCGAAAATGATTTTGGGTTTCAATACCCGCAAGACTCACTTGACACGATGGACACTGGGCCAGCCCGATGTGCGACAGGAGCGCTGGTGGCAGTATTTGTGACGGTTTCGTTTGTAGAAAGGGCAGGCGAATTCGAATACCACGGGTGAGGCAGGATTGTCGCTAAGCCGTGCCTTCTTTCCGGAACCATCCTCCTGTTCTTCGTCGTCTTCGCTCTCGCTAGTTGGCCGTTTGAGACGCATATCAGAGCGCATGCGGCAAGGCAGTTCCAGACTGGGCGTTGTGCTTTTTGAAAAGTCTCTTCCGAACTTCAGCCCGCTCGGTGACTCGACAGAGTACATCTGCTGCGGGCTGTTGTTGTAGGTGATGCCAGCTCCTCGATCTGCGTATTGATACCCAGGCATGGCTGGGTTGCTAATTGGTCTCTGCATAGTCTCGATGGAGTGCTGATGGAAGTCATGTGGCTTCTGATTTGTCCCATTGTTGTTTGCTGGAACTGGACAATTTTTCTCATGACGCTGGGACTGATGGGAACCCTTTTCAGGGATGCAAAGGGCGCTGATGAGCATGTTTGCCGTAATTTGGAGACCGTTCTTAGTCAGAGACAGTAGCAATGCCCGCGGGTTTTGAAATCTAAAGGTGTAAGTGGTATGAACGATTTGCTCACTCGTATAATTGTGTCGTTGCAAAAAGGACAGCCCGTGGTAAGACTTTGGCTGGACAAGAGAGAGAAACCGAGGGAGAGAAATGAGGTCTTACAGAAGATCATTTATTGGTATAAAGATTCCCCGTCTTGAACAGAAATGGACTGGTGCTAGAAGGAAGGCAACTCGAGACGGTGCCCGAGCTAGATCGAAAGGACTGTGTTACTGTCGCCTTGGAGTAAGAAGATAAGTAAGACAGGGCTATCAAACCCGACCGGGAGGATGGCCTGGGGTAGGGATAGAACAGAAGCGAGGTGTGTGAATCCTTGAAGTGAGGCTTTGATGAAATGGCGTAAGAAGCGGTGAGAACATGAATTTCACGTCCCGGGAAATCGTTTCTTGGGTTTGTAAGTGCAACATAAGGTTCGTGCAAACCTGAAAGAAAAAGGAAATGTAGATATGGTGAACTAAACAACTGAAACGTTCAAAGTTCCTAGAGAATACTATTTGAATTATTTTGTATTCTTTAAAAAAAATGACAAGGGTGGGCAACAAAAAAGGGACTGAGAATAAATGCAGTCAAGTCGAAGCGAGATAACCAGGAAAGTTTGGTAAATACCGGTCGTATAATAAAATAAGAAAGGCCCCTGAATGCTACCGAAGAGCAACGCCTAAGCAGAAGCACTAAGTATTGCCCATAGAACCGGAGCAAAAACAGACACATGCATACCCGAGAGAACTACTCCACGTATGAGATACGTCGGATGAAGCCAACAAGTCGTACACTGGCCGCTGTAGTCGTCGTAGGTGGAACCAACCATGCCTCATTGTCCAACACTGCGGCGCTGTTGTACCCCCAACACGCCTGCAGGGGACTGAATTTGCGCAAACAATGCAAAAGTTCAAGGACGTAAATAGACTGGATGTACAGAGATCAAGCAGGACAGAGGCAAAGGACAATGTCGTAATACCCACACTAGGTCAAGTGGTGTTCCGGAGACGGTCACGCAACGCAAGACGCCTTGCTGGAGGGGTGTATGCCAGAGAGAGGCGTGTAGCTCTTTTCAGCGAAGCGTTTTCCGCGCACCAGGTTCAACAGCAGCTGAGAAAAATGTCTCCCTATGTTCCTGGTTGGATGCGAGGTCAAATCGTTAAATGGCAAGTTTAGACGGTAGGAGCTGGGAAGGGCGGTCTCGGCCGCTGCGACGCAGATAGTCGAAGGTTGTTTAATGCAGCCAGGGGAATCTTAGAACACTTGTCGGTTCAGAATGTCTCGTCTGGATTTGGTGGCGCCACTGGGAGCACGCGTTGGGTTGGTTTGTGCAATTGTACAAGTGTGAATGCCCCGGCGTACGCAGTAATTACTCCCTGCAGGACAAGAGGGCAATGGAGGTCGTAGAACTCCGAAGTTCACTCTTGAATCCTGGAATAGGGAAGCATCGTTGTTGGAACCATCTGACGCATTAGAATTTGACCATGGCACTCCTCGTTAGACAGGGGAGGCCACCCTTCGTCCACTTTTCGTAACGCTCCGGATACAGGCACCTCCTAGTTGTCAACAGGTCGCAACAATGGTGATCTGTTATCGTTGCCAGGATGATCTGAGGAAATTGCCCGGCCCGCCATTCTTTGGCTACTCCTCGCGTGCACATTCCATTATGTGTAACAGGTGTCTTGACTGGCTAGCGTACGCCGTGTCTTTGGCAAGTGGACACATTGGATCCGGGCTTTACGATTCTGGAAGACGTGTATGCGGGAAGAAAAATGTTGCGTAACGGACGAGAGATTTGAGAGACATGGTACATTGTCATCAAAGACAAGGTCTTGGCCCGGGCCGGGCATGCGAAAAGATCCTTTGGGGGACGTGTTCTAAGATGGGGGGTTTTGGGCGCGGGGGCGTCCCGTCTGTTGAGCTGAGGCGATTCGGAAGAAGACGATGCAGAGACGAGTTAGCGCATGCAGTGTAACACAAAGGGGAGGATGCGAGTGAGCGAAAGAAGGAAACAAAAGTCGAATACGAGAGAAGATGGTTGGGTGCGAGGAACAAGGGCGGTGTGAGTAGGTTCGAAAGCGGGAGGGCGCATCAGGGAATGAAGAAGGAAGAGTCTAGAACAGCGGAAAGCAGCAGGCTTTGTTTCGTCTCTTTTCTGTTAATTTCTTGTTTTTCTCTGTCTTGAAATATGAGGGGGAAAAGGGATTCAATCACCAAGAAAAAAAAAAAAAAAAAAAAAAACCAAACTGGTAAAGATTGACGGAAGTCAAGAGATGCAAAAATGGGTGGGTGGCAGCGACGGAAGGCAGGAGGGGAGGGCGCCCACCCCAGTGGGGAACAGGGCTAATCACACGGTTGCGATGGGGATCTTGGAAAGGCAGGTGTGTCCGATGCAGAAACGATGTTGTGATATATGACAGAAAGCGTTAATCGTTCTTGCCTTGGCCGTTGTTATGTTAAATGTGAACGGAAAGAGCGCGCAGAAGCCACCGTGTGCAAGGGCAGGCAGCAGGGAGAACCGCACGAGAAGACCTGTCAAGCCCGCGGCTCCTTCCTGCCCGGTTTTCTGGGTGACAGGTGCTGTACTCCGTTTGCAAAAGGCGGGAGGAAGGCGCCAGGTTAGGAAAGTGCGAACGCCAAATCAAAATAAAGATGAACCGGTGGTGACCATGATGTGCCATGTTACAACAAAACTACATACACATGGATGCGCACAGACATTGATCTATGTGTAATTGTGAGATTACATTTAGTTTTTGCGTGTTCTAGAGTTCAACAAAGCCAGTCACTCTTGCTATCGTGTTTATGCTGCGTCCGGTCGTTCTTGCCTTCTGATCTCGCTCCCTCCTTTTGGATTGGACCTAACAAGTAGGCGCGACCCTTGCAGAAAGGCGTCAGATACGCACTTTGAAGGAAAGAGTAATCTGGCGTGTTTTGTTCGCGTATGAAAGGGGCAAGAGGGAGCGGGCAGTGGAAAACCGCCACATTCTCACCCACCTGGCCCATCTTCCTGTTAGCATTATTCATCTTGCGGTGCATATGCATGTTTTGTTTTCGCCGAATCAACGCTCAGCCCCCCGAGCAACCAGGGCCCAGGATACCACGTCGGCTTCGCATCTTGGTAGCAGACAAGCTGGCAATCGAATCCTTCAGGACTGAACCATACCTGCTCGACTAAAAAAAGAACGTCTGCTACCAACCACCCACTCCAGCTCAAAAGGAAGCTCGAGATCCGACTCGTGGAAGAAACCGTCGAGGCTGTAAGAGCTGCGGGTTTCATGCATACATACCACCCAACGTGTCTAAGACGGAAAGGCAAGCCATTCTTCTCTGTCACCAACATCTCCATGCACATGCAGGTCGGCACATCGGCTACTTTGCCAGTCTGAAGAATGGCACGAACGACAACAGTTTCCAAAAGTCCTAACCGCTTTGGCGGATGACCACGAGAAGCAGAGCAGGCAAAGCAGAGCAGGCGCGAGAGCAAAAGGCGCCGCTCTTTTGCAGGAAGCGACTACGGAAGAGTATTGGAAAGCCAAACGAGGTTGTTCGTCGGGTAGCGACATGCCAGACAAAATGATTTCCTCACAGCGGCTCCGCTTCTTTCGTATTGTTGACCACGTCGTCCAATCCATCGCTTTCAACGGTGCATGCAGCCTGCACCTACCCGAAACAGACAGCGTGGCGAAGCAGCTAAGTTACCATCTCACGGGACCAGGAGACAGAATGTGAAATAAAAAGAGGAGGAAACAAAGGGTGGGCAAAATAACAAGAGCTACAAAGGGACGTAGCTGCCGCAAGGCCCGGTTATTACCCTGAATCTTCGGCAACCAAGTCAGGTGCTCGCGGTTTTGTCGTTTGCTCCCCATCGACACTTTTGGTTGACGAAGCTGACTACATCGTCAATTTCGTCTGGAATTTTGTACCAGTGGCCTAGCCCCTCGTAAGGTCTCCATTCGACATCAAATCCCAGATTTGACATGGTGCGGCTTGCCTCCTCACCCGATGCCAGCGGCAGCTTCTCATCAACGGCGCCGTGTCCGAGAAAAACGGGCATCAAACCCAACTGGTCCTCAAGAACGGTGTCCCACTGGAGTAACTCGCGGACGTATGCACGGCCGGCTGCGGCCTTGGTGGCGCTGCTGTCGTCGTCGCCAATATGAATGTGCTGCTCAATTTCCTTCTGGAAAGGCATCCACCCACTCAGGCCAACAAACCCGCCGATGAAGCCGCAGCCTCCCAGGGCGATGGCACAGATGAGTGACATGGCGCAGCCATTGCTGAGACCGCCGAGAATGATGTTGGGCGCAGAGATGCCCGCGCGGCGTTCATTCTCGATGAGCGCCAGGACCTCCTGGAAGGACTCGCGCAGGCCAGGCAGCTTTTTGTCGTTGCGTAAGGACCGGTCCTGCATATCGGCCACGTCAAACCACTGCGTGAGCATAGCCCGCCGAAAGGCCGACGACCGCCGCCATCGTGCCGTGGGGAAGACGAACCGCGCGCCAGGAAATATTGTGCTGAGAAGACGGCCGTCGGAGTTCTTTCCAGTGTCCATCAGCTCGCGGCCAAACTTTTCGCCGTTGGAGCCAAGGCCATGGAGGAGAATGAAGCTGTGTGTGTGCGTGGTAATCGGTTCCACAATGTATGGTGGCGGGGCAGGTGCGTCGCCTCTGCGCCGACGGTCAGGAGTTGAGCTTTGCTCCATTGTGACGGTTGATAAGCTGGTGCGTCCCTAAGAAGGGGAATTGCATTTGGATGAATAAGGTCGCAAGATGGTTTGGAGCCAATTCAGAACCGAGCGAATTTGTAGAGAGAAGGTTGTCTAAAGAAAGACGAGACAAGGTGGAAAACACCAGACGAGGGGGACGCGGGTTGTTTATAGCAAATGACATGGTCTCCATAGAATTAGTTTGCGTTATTCATGGTAAAATATCAGTAAGGCATGCTTGTTGTTGTTACTATTGGGTGTTTTACTTTTAAAGAGTCATATTGGAGTTGTGCAAAAGTCAAAAACAAGGTTCTCACAATTTACGTGGCGGGAACACGTGACGTTGCTTAGTATCGTCGACGATGACACAATACTTCACGTATGCTTTCCTTTCGAATAGGTTTACGATATAATGTATTTTTTGGGAAAATTACGTATGATTGAAATTGTGTCCTTGTAAAAGCCATTACTGTGTGATACATGTCTTTTTCTTTATAATTATGTTAAGTAATTTCTTTCAAAAGAGAAACGCAAAAGACGCACTCGTCAGCGTACGAAACTGACCGTACATTATTTTGGAGGCCATAAGAGTCATGTCCAAAGTAAAAAAGGAGCGGTTATCATGATTGCAATCTAATATGAGTCTGGTGCTTGTGCAATGACAAGGTGCTAGTTTGATGACATCGCATCCACGTCCAACTGGCCGAATGGTCACGTGGTGTCACTCACTACACTGTCTTTCCTCGGCAACGACGCTCTGTGTTGTCCTTGAAAGAGCCACACCATAGATCTCGGCAAGCTGGTTTATGATTTTGTGCTTGACTGCTTCTGACGGGGTTTCCTTGGTGACGAGGTATGCGTCCACTCCGTATCCAAGCTGATGACCGATGGACACGGGAGAATACCCATAAGAGGCCAAAACAAATCAGCATCGTATGCTGATATCCTTTTGTTCTGGTCAGTATAAAATCCCATGGAAGAAGACATACCTTTACCTTCACTTTCTTCCGTACCGGGAACAACTTCGTACGCTTCAATCCCCATACTTTGCCTTTTTCGAATTGCCGTCTCACCGTCGTTAGCTGGCGACATTCTTTTGAATTCTTTGTGGCTTGTCGACGAGCAGACGAGATACAAAATACAAACTGAACAAACACATACAAACACTTACAAACACACACGCATCAACTTCACTATCACGTTCGACCAGGGTCAAGGACCGCCCCAAGCACAATGTTGCAAACAAAGCCAGTGGCAAACGGCAGCAACCACAACCACGACCACGGTTACAAGGACGACCGCGACGCACAGGCGAGTGCCTGGACAGACCCCGGCACTGCCCTCGTCCTCTTCTCCCAGGATACGATGACGGACGATGTGCACGGCTCTGAGGCTCACCAGACATTGGTGCCGGCCACATCGTTCTCGTCGGTGGCACTCGACTCGCCTTCTGCACCGTCGTCCCCTCGTCCTTGTTCCCCTCCTTCGTCCCCTCCGCCTCGGTCTGCCACTACCCCTACACCTGCACCCTTGGCCAGGCCCAAAGCCGTGTACCGCGTCACGCGTCTTCCCCGGGGCGAGATTGAGCGCCGCGTCGCCATGGGCCGCTGCACCTACTGCGACGACGACTCCCACACGCGCACCACGTGTGCCTCCGGGCGGCTGATGCGCCGCGTGCCCAAGCGGGTGCTCAACCTCCGGCTCGGCCACAGCGTGTGTCCCTTTTGCGGCGATCCGGACCGGGACAAGCACTGCAAGGCGACGTGCCCGCTGCGCATCGAGCTGCAGGCGGCGCTGGACGCCAAGGAGGCGGAGTTCCGGAGTGGCCACCTCGACGACGGCGGCGACACACGGAACCCGACCGAGGCACGGGCCCAGCGGACAGCGGCAGACGCGGTGATGGCGGCGATCGAACGACAGACGGAGCAAGCACGAGCGGCAGCTGTGGCACTGGGTCGGTCGACGCGAACCGAACGATTGGACTGGCGTGGCGGTGTCGAAGACAACGGACACGCCGGGGACTCCGAGGACCAGCAGCCAGAGGGTGCGTCGAGGCCGGCCGCGGTCCCCAAGAAAAAGGCGTTCGTCAAGCGGCCGCCCATGAGCAAGACGAACGCGCCGTGGCGGGCGGTCATTGTGCGCTCCGTGCCGGTCGTCGAGGCAGAGACAGAAACAGAGACAGAGACAGGCCAGACGGAGCAGCCGTACGATCTCATTGATTTGTGCACCACACTGCCAGTCTTTGCCCCTCCGAGTAGCCCCTCGACGACGTCCTCGGAGGTAACCGGTGGCGCGAGCGTTGCGACGAGCGTCGTCGACAAGCTGCTGCCGCCGCTCAACCTCTTGGACACAGAGGTCACCGAAGTGGTCTGGGACAACATTGTTATCCCGCTGCATGAATGTGTTGGCGTGGTAACTGACTGTGCTGAGGCAAGCACCAACTCCAGCTCCAGCAACAGCTCGAGCTCAAACGGCGAGTCGGACTGTACGATGCCCGAGACGAGCAAACAGCAGAGAATAGTGACGAGGGCGGGGACTTGATTGACCTGGGGATGGACGTGGTGTGCAATTGAGAGGCTTGAAGTGAGACGGGAGTGATGGGGGGAAGGCAATGGAGGATGACCTTGGGAGAGGACTTTTGGCGGAATGGACAAAGACGAACAGGAGATGAACAAGAGTCATCGGCGAACAAGAAATAGATATGAATTAATATAGTAGTAACGGACAGAAATGCGTACAAAACTACGCTTGGACAACACCTTACAAAGAAAGCACAAAAAAAAAAAAAAAAAGAAAACAGAAATAAAGGGATCGTGATGGGGCCACGGTCCACAACGCACAGCCTTCCTTTCGCGACCGCTGTCCGCTCTGCTTCTTCAGCTGCTCAGATTCTGCATGCCGACATATTCCCAGTAGCGGCCCCGCATGGCCATCAGCTCGGCATGGTTGCCCTGTTCCACGACAGAGCCGCGGTCGAAGACGTAGATGCGGTCGGCGCGGGCAATGGAGCTCAAGCGGTGGGCCACGGCGACGGTGGTGCGGCCGGCGGCGGCGGTGGCCAAGGCTTGCTGCACGACCTGCTCGGAGCGGGAGTCGAGGGCCGACGTGGCCTCGTCCAGGAGGCTGGCCTTGGGTCAGTGGGAGCCCGTGGCGAGACGAGACGAAAACAACACGGACAGCAGGGGAGGAGGACGACGTACAGGACTTTGGGATTGCGCAAGAGGGCGCGGGCCAGAGCGAGGCGCTGTTTTTGGCCGCCCGAGACCTGGCTGCCACGTGGGCCGATGCGGGTGTTGATGCCTTCGGGAAGGGAGGTCTGATATGTGTGAGCTGAGAAGAAGACGAAAGGAAACCAAAAAAAAAGAACTAAAACATCAAGTAAGAATAGGGAAAGGGTCCTGGCTTACCACAAAGTCCCAGATATTGGCATCGCGGCAGGCGCGCTCAATGCGGACGTCGTCGATGTTGTCGATGTCATCCACGTTGTCCACGTCACCCATCACGACGTTGTCCTTGACGGAGCCACTGTAGAGCACGGCATCCTGGTCGACAATGGCCAGCTGGCGGCGGTAGCGCTGGAGGTGCAAGCGGCGGAGGTCCCGGCCGTCGGCCAGGACGTGGCCGGCGCTCGGGTCGTAGAGGCGCTCGAGCAGGTTGAGGACGGAGCTCTTGCCGCTGCCGCTGGCGCCGACCAGCGCGACGACACGGCTGACGCCGGTGCCGGCGCCAGCCTGCAGCGAGACCTGGTCGAGGGCGCGGACCGTCTTGCCGGGGTAGGCAAAGTCCACGGCGCGCAGCTCGACGTCGCCGGCGAGGTCATCGGCGGCCCCATCCACAACGGCGTCGCCGGCGTCGTCGGCGTCGTCTGCCTCCACATCGATGCCGGGGACGGCGGCCAGCAGGCGCCGCAGCTGTCGGACGGCTTCCTGGGCGCCGGCGAGGTCCGGTGC